CCAGCTTAGAGTTTGGGGCTGGAATCAGGCTTAATGAAAGAAATGGCTTTTGAGTTGGGCTTCAAGTGCTAAGTAAGCTATCAAAAGCCAGAGATTGGGGTGGGGACAGGGGAGAGAGAGGATTCCAGCATTCTAAGCATTAGAAGAATGTGATCCTAACCTGGGACTAATGGGTCTTGATTTTAGTAACTCCTTCCAGCTCTACCTCACCTCTCCCACACAGTGCCTAATACTAGGCTTAATTAACACACTGAGAAAAATCAACAAATATCACTCATTAGCCCTGAGCCAGCAGATATCAATACCTATATGCTTTTAGAAAAGCATTTTTTAATGCATTCATATTTTTACCCCTTTGTTCTCAGTGGACACCAAAAGATGACCTGGCTGCCTTGAAACTTCATGGGAAATGTGATGATGTCATGCAGCTGCTAATGGATGAACTGGGTCTTGAAATCCCCCATTACAATAGGTGAGTGGTGTGATCAGGACCTCGGTCTCTAGCCTGAGGCTAGGCAGCCTTCAGTTCTCTTGCCTGTTTTATGTGTACAGATGGACATGGTTGCCTCTCCTTTCAGACTGAATGTTTTGTTCTATACTTAAACACTGATTAACATGAGCATTTCCTCATACAAAGAACAGAAAAGGGAATTTGTATATAAAACAGCCAATCTTTGCTATGAATAACTTGCCTCTTTTTAAACATATAAATTCATCATGTTAGTTTCAAAACTATCCTGCTTGTTTGTGTACCTCTTAAAAACTCCTGTTCTCTCCTTGCAGCCTGGTTATTAATGAAGTAGTAAGGCTGGTTTAAACCTAAGGTAATGACTGAGGTAAAAGGGCATCTGATAGAATTGCTTCTAAGAATAGTTGCAGTTGACTGAAATCTAGCTTGAAGTTTTAGATGAATTTTGGGTAATTTGTCCTCTAGTTAATTTTTATGTGCTGATATTCTCCATGTCTTCTGCTAGTAGAAATAAGAATTTTGTTTCAAAGACGTAAAAACAAAAAAGTTGGTTTGGAAGGGCTGTATGTTTGTAGCACAGCTTAATCAAATAGCCCATTTTACTATAAAAACATCAGTTATTTCTGTTGATTTTTTTTTCAAAGATTTCTTTTGCTTTTAATCAAAAGGGGGACATTCTAAAATCAACAGCTTTTTTAAGTCAAGAATTTCAATTATAAGTGATTCTTCGACTTCTGGACCTGGTAATTTTTGTGTTTAAAGGACATTTGTTGATGGTGTTACGGAATGTTAGGCATTATGTAATAGGAATTGTACTTTAAAAAACAACACATTTTATTAATATCTATTCAGATCTCAGTTTATAAACTTTAGAACTTTAATGGATATATGATCACATTGATATAGGGCATCCATTGGTGCAGATCACAAACTCATTCTGTGCAGTTTTCTCTGTACCCTCCTGATCTCGATCTGCCTGGCATGCTGAGGGCGTTCCTCTGGATCCCTTCACATTGTGTGGGCACCATTGGAGTACACAAGCTACTCAGTAGTTATCCCTCTTCCTGTAATCCAGCCCACCTTCTTTTCCAGTAGCACATTCTCTGACCGTATCTTTGTAATTATTATGCAGTTGTTCCTTGTTAATGTGCTGCAACCTACTCACATCCACTAGTGCCTTTTGGATAATTTGTAACTTTAATACTTTGGAGACTGATATCCCATGGTTCAAAGACATATAGTATTACCAGAGGAATAGTGGTTTTTTATCCAAGGAGAAGTTTGGAGATCATTTTAAAAAAAAACAAACAAAAAAAACCACCCTGTACTATTTCCCAGAGGCAGTCTAGCCCCTTGTTTTTGTCAATTCTGAGCCCAGTTCATGGTTCATCTTCTAGTGTCCATCCAAGACAGACTAAACTGCTTCCAGAGAAGTAGAAGTAACAAACCGCTAGATCACTGCAAGGCAGTCACTTTTCTGACATTTTCCTCATAAATATCCTCACAAAGTAGAGATTACTGAATAGAGCAAAACCTCATTCATATACAATATTGGGAGAGAAAACCAGTCTGTAAATGGGTTATAAAATATATTTTATAACATATATAAATTAACCTAAGATATTCCAGATGCTCCTGTTTGTAGGGAGCATAAACAGAGCTGATTGTATCAATTCCCAGGATATAGGAGAGCCTCCTAAATAAGTTCTGTAACCACTCAACAGAGTTCAGTCTAACTATCCACAGAGGAAAAAGCAGATGGATGAAGAATGCCTATTAAGACTTAACGATATGCATTTGAATGTGAACCGCCAGCCATTACAGCTCGTGTATTAGCAATATGTGCCAATCAGTAATGTACTAAACAGTATGACTGATATGTACAGTATATAATACAGTACATACTGATTAATCCATTACTGATTGGTAGTTATTACAGAATGCACTAATCAGTATGTCCAGCGTATATACTGTACATCAGTCATACTGATTAGTACAACATGTAATATGTACCAGTCAGTAATATACTAATCAGTATGTACAGATGAACTTTATAGGCTGGTCATTCAACTACATATCAGCCTTAACTGTGAACATTCTTCATCTACTTGTTTTCTTCTTTTGTGCATAATTAGGTTGAAACTTTTTTGGTGATTATAGATCTTATAATCTGGTGGTCTGCCCAGCATGCTGAGTACCTTCCTGTGGATCCCTTGTAATGGAACTTGTTGGAATCAGCACAGTGTGGTACACAGATTCTGTGTAAACTTAGTTTACAATACAGACATAATGTGGGACCATCCTTTAAAGCCCAACTCAAATGTAACTTACTCTTTGAAGGCCTTTCATGGGCGGAACTTCACATGACATTTTGTTTTACAACTAACGCATTTTTGTGCATTGTATAATACAATTATTTTATACCCTGTCTTATATTATAACTCTTCTTAGATTGTAAGCTCTATGAAGGCCCGGGGTCCTATCTAAACTTAACAACTCCTTCCGCACCTAGCATCAAGTGCTTAATGTTTGAATTACTAATTTCTTTAGAATATATTTTATAAGCTATACTTTACAGACGGGTCTTCCTCCCAGTATAGTAAATTAATCTGGTTTTGATTTTGGTAGGTGAGGGAGTTGGACAAAAAAGTGATTCCCTCTAAGTAGCAAGAGTGGGTTACTACTTCTGGCACTCTGGTTTATTATTTAGTAAGAGGGTAGGAACCCGTTTTAACCATACATTTTAATAGAGTGTGTTTCTGAGTCAGATTTAAGTACTTGCCCTGAGTGGCACCTAATATATCTTTCTCCTTTTTGGTAGGTGGCAAGACCCCATCTTCTCTCTCGCAACTCCCCTCCGTGCTGATGAAGAAGGCAGCCACAGCCGAAAGCCATTGGTGCCCCCACAGAGTGCAGAAGAGACTCAGTCCAGGGATCTTAAGGAGCAGGGGACTCCACTCAGCTCAGTGCCATTCTCAGGTGGCTGGTTTGGCAGGGGTTGCACCAAAGGCACAAAGAGGAAAAAAGTGTAGCCCCATGCCTATAGGGGAATAGACAGTTGGCACTTTTCAAATAACTTCAGGAAACCTTATTCAGGGGTCAAAAGTCACCATGAAGGGTGAAGTTAACCTCCATGTTGACTGGTAAGGGTGAATAATGGATGAAAATTTTTGTACTGGGATTTTTAGTAATTTATCTGGGGGTTTTTTCCCCTTTGAAAGCCTATCTCCTAGCTCTTTGTACCACTTTCTGTGCTACAAACTGCACCCAATAATGAGTCTATTGATGACATCTCTAGCTCATCTAGTCTCTGAGTGAGGATGTGGCAGACTAATAATTTTCTGCACGATAAAGGACTTGGTGATATTTCACATCTGGCTGGCCATGAAGAAATACACAGCTGCCTTTACCTCAGTTCACCAGACTGCTCTTAGGTCCCTGAACTGTATTTGTACCACTTGTTACTAAAAATATTGCTAACTATAGGTATCTTTTTCTGTATTTGAGTATACAGTAATAGGGTGGCTTTGACCTCTCTAAAAGCTCTAAGCAGATCCTTTCATGTTTTTCAATTAAACTACTCTAAAATTGATTATTTTGGGGTGTGTGTGGTTATTTTTTACATTAGCTAGGTAAAGAGACTGCCTTAACCTGTACATATTGCACCCTTTCCTGTACCTTAGTTTCTTTTTTTTTTGGCTAGGCAATGGGGTTAAGTGACTTGCCCAGGTTCATACAGCTAGTAAGTGATATGTGTCTGAGGCTGGATTTGAACTCAGGTCCTCCAGAATCCAGGGCTGGTGCTCTATCCACTGTACCACCTAGCTGTCCCCTGTACCTTAGATTCTTGCTAAGCATAATATGAAAAAAAACAAAAACCAAATAACTAAGTGGAGTAAAAAGCTTTGTGACCTCTTCTAGGAATGTAAAAGTCTTAAAAAGGGAACAGCACTTTTAGTAAGGCTCACAAGAGAAGGGGATATGATGTGAGAAGGTGCAAGCCTGGTCAGAGGGTCCTCAGGGTACTAGTCCAGTCATGCTGACAACTAGTTGTGTAACCTTGACGGGCCCGGTTGGCTTAGGTGAACCCTTTCCTTCCTTTCTTGCTCCAAAATTCTGAGAAGTGGAGAAGATACAAATAAAAGGTCTCATGTGCCCTGGACCAGGCATAGTCTGCAAGGTTTCCCATTGCCAGGCACTGGTTTCTGCAGAGGGGCTGGGTGGGGGAGAGGGGAAGCGCCTTGATCCTAGTACCAGGATACTCTTGGTTTTCCTGTTCTGGGAGGGGAATTCCTGGGCCGCAGGTACACGTTGGGTCTGGCCTAGGGGCGGGGCTTGGGGAGTGATGGGCCTCCTCCAACCGGCTGCCGCATGGGTGGAAGAGAAGGGAGTGACAGCATGCGGAGGGGCGTGGCCTGCTGCAGTGAGCGAGGGCGGGGCTGTCGGGCCAGGAGCTCCTCGCTTCAGGATTGGCCCGGCGCGGCGAGGTGAGCCGCCACGTGACTGTTGTGGGCGCGTGCGCGGCGCGGGACGGGGGCAGCGGCTCTGGAGCCGTGGCACCACCGGCAGTGGCCGATCTGTGTCGGTGGTCAGTCTGTTGTACGATCGCAACGCCGGACACGAAAGGGCCGGAGCCGTTGCCGCCGCTGGGACATGATCCGAAACGGACACGGTACCACGGACTCCTCCAAGAACCTCGGCCCGGGGACCAAACGCACCGTGCGGGTCTGGTGCGACGGCTGGTGAGAGCGTGGGACCGAGAGGGCAGAGCGGGGCGGTCCGAGACCCTCCCTGCCCTCCCGCCGGTCGGGCCGGCTGCCCCTGTGCCAGCCTCCTCCCGTCCGCTCCTCTCTCTCCCCTTTCCCTCCCTCCGTCCGTCCTTTCTCCCGCCGCCGCCCCGGGGCCCTGCGGACCGCGGCCCGCCCCGCCTCGCCTCCCCCTGTGCGGGCGGCCCGCCGCCCCCCGCCCCCCGGGAGACGTGCCCCAGGGCTTGCCCGAAGCTGCGAGGCTTTAACCTCCGGGTCTGCTGGGCGAGTTTTTGCGCCAGGTGCCGTAGCAGCCCCTAGCTCCGCCGAGACTCGGACCCGGGGGAGCCCGGACGTTTGGTGCGGAGAGCCGGCAGGCTCCGGACTTTGAGAGCCGGGGCGCCTGCCCAGGGCAGGTTCGGTTCGTGTGTTCGGCCCCTGCGAGCAGGGCTGCTCTTCCTGGAAACTTGCGCCGAGGCTCAGTTCTCAGGGACTCAGCTCGGCGGAAAAAAGTCCAAGCTAACTCTACGTATTTTTCCATATCTCCCATAGCTCTTTAGCAATAGCCATTGAATAAGTGACCCTTTGGGGCCCGGGCAGTAGGAGCCCTGAGCCGCTGGAGTTGGGTAGAGCCAAGAAAAGGGCAAGGAATCAGCAGTGTCTATTCTGGAGAACCAGAGAGTTGAACAGGGAAAAGGAAGCACGATTCTAAGCAAGAGCCAAGGATTTTAAAAAAGAAAAGGCATTTGCAGAGAGTTTATTGTTATAAGAGATTGAATTTCTGTTGAGAAACTCTAGATTAGCTATTTCTTCCTTTATATGAGTGCTAATCGTCCTAGGATAAGGTGGATTTTTGGACCAGCCCTTTACTTAAAAATAAGATAAACTAAGATAAACTGGTTATTTTGATATTCTAAAGGGGGGGAGGGAGATTGTTTCTTGCTGTAGGCCTTTTGAATTTGAGATTCCGTCTGGGGAGGAAGGAGTGTTTTGGGTTGCGAAAGTGGGTGGAAACATGGTTTTGATGCCTGATTTTCTTGTGTGTGATTTTTTGAGGAATTTGACCCATATGGTTCCACAGATCCCTAATGACATAGAGACATGGGATACTTTACTGTTTCTGAAGCATTACCAAGAGGTGCATAACATTTTCACTCTTCACACGTAGGACTCTTGCTCAGATTCAGGTGAACACAGAAAAGCATTTCAGATCAGGAGATTGACTTCCATCCTTCCAAAGGGAGATGGTGGTAAAGTGAGTGGGAAGTTGAGAATTCTTGGCTTTTAGCCCCAGATCTGGTAGTCTTTTGTGAGTACACTAAGCACTCTGTTATCAGATGACTGCAAAAAAAAAAAAAAAAAAAAAAGCAGCATACTAGTATTTATTAAGAATATTTAAAATTGTGGGGGAGCATTTTCAGGGCTCCAGAAAGTTTCCTTCAGACATTCAGGTTTTTGTTTTGTTTTGTTTTTCCCCCAGAAAGGTTCAGCCAAGCTGTATTTGCTTTTGTTCTAATATAAAACATTTGACTCAGTATAATATAGCTAAAATTTTTATGTTTCCATTAGTATGTTTAATATTGTACAGTTGCATATGTTTCTGAAAATGTGTGTCAAGTTTTTGTCATTTTAACCATTTAAAATGCCGTACAGGCCTTGTGCTCCAGTATGTAGATTATATGAAATCTCATACTCCAGTAAAGGAGTATCCACTTCTCAAAGGTTTTACAGATCGGGATTTTCATAGGCAGAGGCAGCTTTGGGGTAATGGAAAGAGCCTGAGATTTAGAATCAATACCTGGGCAGTAATCTCAGCTCTGCCAGCTGTGTAACTTTGGAAAAGTCACTTAACCTCTCTGTCTCAGTTTCCTCATTTGTAAAATGGAGATAACCTTTGTACTACCACCAACCTCAAATGGGTTTAGTGAGGATCAAATGAGATTATATGAAATGTTTCATAAATTGTAATAAACTATATGAAGTTTACTTAGTATGTGTTAGATTTACTCAAAGTGAGATGTGCCTGCATTGCATTTTTTCATTTCTATAATTCAGTACACCCACATGCCTCAGGTAAAGAGAAGTTAGTGTTCTGTAGAGAGAGAGATGCTAAAGCAAGATACTATTGACAACGGGACAGCTAGGTTATAACCCAGGTATTCTGCCTTTTGTCCCAATAAGTATTCTGTGGTAGTCAGTGAGTACTGACCTTTGCCCACAATTGCTGAATTATCAGAACCAGATTCATGTTCTAATGCTGTTCTTCCCAGTATATTCTGGGAACACTTCCAGGGGCCCAAACTAGGCTGTATCAAAACAACCCAAATAATAGGTACTCAATCCTATAGGGAAATTTTTTTTTTTTTTTTGCTTTCCATGGTTACCTTTCTAGTGTTTTAGTAAGTGGAGAGTTTGGAGTTTCTGGGTAGTAGATGGCAGTAATAAAGGACTGAAAAAAATCCTATATCTAATAAAAATTTAGAGACTCTGGGAACAAAACCAAATCAGTACTTCATATTCCTGTACTATGCCCTCCCACACGCTAAATCCAGAGTTTTTTAACCAAACCAGTGGTTCCATTAACTCATATTGGGCTAGAGAAAGTGAGAAATGGGTCTTCAAATAGGCTACCATTCTGCGCCTATTATCATGTGGACTCTGGAATGACTCTGTGGACTTTACTTATGAAAGAGCCTTTGTTTGATCAAAATCCCCAGTATTCAATATTCCCCAAGCTCACCCCACTTCAGCTTCCCTTCTAACCTCACCTTTCTACCCCTTTCCTCTACTCCCATTTCTTCTATTCAGTCTTCTTTGCTTTCATGGGGACATTTTAATTGGCTTTCTTTGGGTTTTGATTCAGCCTTCCCTGGAGCTAGGTCTTTGATTGTGAACTGTAGCTGAGGCCTGATAGTTCTTGGATAAGCTTTCTTGATGAAGAAAGGAAGAGCATGGTATACCCCCATTATGCCAAGATCAGACTCCAAAATAATAACACCCCCTAGAGATTCCAAGCCTCCTCAAGGTGTACTGCAAGATTAATTTAGGTTCAAATTTTAGAAATAAACATGCTATGTAGTTCCTCTTGGAAATCTAATAACTAAGAAAAGATTAGGAGTCACAGTGCTACTCACCACTCCTTAGGGGAGCACCCTGAAATCCTTATAGGTCTAACTTGATCACATGGCCAAACCCTAGTAATGAATTCCCACATTGGTATTAGGTTTGGCAATAAGGATCCTGCCCTTCCTTACACTTGAGTTTCTCTGGCTTCACATGACTTTGTCATGACTCCTAAAACCTTCCATGTCTAAGCTGTTGAATAGCCTGGTTTTTATTTCCTGAACCATCATTTCACCCTAATCTGCCCTCACTACTTATCTTCATTTGTAATAGCTCCAGGATCCATAGGAGGCTACCCCAAAGAGGCTACAAGAGGGGAACTCTGCTTCCCCAACTCAAATCTGTCCCTCCCTGTCGACCAGGTACAAGGCTTGATACCTCCATTTATTTCCACAGCTATGACATGGTACATTATGGGCATTCAAACCAGCTGCGTCAGGCACGGGCCATGGGAGATTACCTTGTCGTAGGGGTCCACAATGATGGTAAGAGGCTGTGTGCCCCAGCTCCTCTCCTAGCTCTTGCCTCCCCATCCCATAGCACAGGACTGCAGTGTTGGCTGTTCTCAGCCAGTCAGATCATATAAGGACGTTTTAAACAGATATGGTGCCTTCCCCCATAAGTTGCAGTCCTTGGCAGGCAGTGGAGATGTGGAAAGCAAAATATGATGACTAGGGTTGTATCCCAGACCCTTTCCCTGCTTGGATCTAGTGGCCTAGGTGGGTGGAAAGGCTAAAGAAATGTGGGGGAGGAGTTATTCTACTAATAGGGAGAATTTACTATGACTACTCTGCTTCCCCAAAAGACATACCAAATCCATTTCAAGATTTGCCATTGTCTAGGAATTGAACCCAAGATCTCAGAGAACTAAGATGTTTGGTATTGGAGTACCTTAGCAAATTGGGTTGTTGGATGAGGGCTGGAAACGAGAGTCCTTGCTGTGGATTCTTCAGGAGACACATTAGTAGTGTTTGTCATTACTCTACTCTTTCTTCCTCTTTGCCTTGCCCTAGAGGAGATTGCCAAGCACAAGGGCCCTCCTGTCTTCACTCAGGAGGAGAGATACAAAATGGTCCAGGCCATCAAGTGGGTGGATGAGATTGTGGCTGGTGCTCCTTACGTCACTGCCCTGGAGACCCTGGACAAATACAACTGTGATTTCTGTGTTCATGGCAGTAAGTGGCCTAGCTGCACACCTTATCTATGAAGTCCTAAGATGGCAACGTGGCAACTAGAGGGAGGGGGGCAGGCCCCACGTGATTCTGCAGAGATGACAGTTTTTTAAAAAGTCTTAGGGACTCTGAAAGCATTTTCCTTGACCCTGGAGTTTTAGGATATGAATGTTTGGATTCTGTCTGAGACTGGGGCTCTTGACCAAGGCTGTCCTGAAGTATCTTGGCAGGGCTGACCCTCTAATGTGTTTTTGTGTGTGTGTGTGTGTGTTGCTTCCTAGATGATATCACCTTAACTGTGGATGGGCGGGACACCTATGAAGAAGTGAAGAAGGCTGGGAGATACAGGTGAGACCCCTCTGCCCAGACCTAAGGTGGTGATGGGGGGGGGATTGTAAGGAGAAATGCCTTACACAGAGTACTTAAATACCTGTTTGCTGAACTGAATCAAGGGAGTAGAAATAATTGTCCTTGACATTTCCATAGGTAATGCTTTACTGTATATATGGTACTTTATATATGATTTCATAGTGTGTTCTCTCATTCCTGGTAGCCACTGAGAGAGGCTTCTCAAGTCAGGCTAGTAAGGGCATGGTTCTATGTTCTTTTTCTCTTACTGGCTACAATTTGCCCCAGCTACAAAGTAGGATGACCTGTAGAAAGGTTTTCTAGGTGTGACCACTAGGTTGTGCTGCAGGCATCACACTAACACTAGCATTTCATAGATTTGTGGAATTTTTTAGTGGAAAAGGAATCATAGGATCACAGAGTTAGAGATGAAGAGGATTTTATGGGTCATATCATGTGACCTTTTCATTTTACACATGCAAAAACCAAAGCCCAGAAAGGTTACCCAAGTTCACACAGGCAGCAAGTGACAAAGCTCAGGTTTAAACCAGGTCGTCTGATTCCACGTCCGGTGCCTGTCTCACTGCACCACTCTGCCTTCTCAGCCTGGGAACCTTTAGCCCAAGTCCCTCATTTTACAGACAGGGAAATCAGTGCTCACAGAGATCAGGTGACTTGCCCAAAGATACAAAACTGAGACTGGAGCCCATGCCGTCTGATCCACTCTACTGATGATCCTCTGCCTTTTTGAGAATGAGCATCTGTTCTTAACAATCTTATTTTTAATCGATGCTTTTGTTCTTATGTAACCCTCATTTCCAGGTATGTCCCTGGCCCCTTTTCTCTCTGCCCGTTGCGCCATCCCTTGTAACAAAGGTTAAAAAAGTAAGAAAAAACTTTGAAACTAATCAACAACACATCAACTGTGTCTGGCAGCTTATGCAGTGCTCCACACCCATAAACCTCCCACCAGCAAAGAGGGGAGAAAAGGGTATTTTCTCAACTCTTTTCCGTGCATGAGCTTGGGAGGGACTTTTTTTTAGTGCCAAAATTTTAGTGGACTCTACATGAGTAGCATAGTAATACTATACTATTAGTACTGTACTGTTAGTATTAGTAATAGTTCTTCATCTATAAAATGGGGATAGTTCCTCACTGAGTTGTTATGAAACTCAAATGAGATAATGTAAGTGAATCTCTTTGAAAACTTTAAAACGCCGTATAAATTTAAGTTGTTATTGTTGTTATTATTGACCAAGAAAACACACAATGATAAAAAGTTAGTGATTTCAGTAGTGCTTTCAAATAATTTTTATTAATTGCATCAGAATCTACATGCATTTGAAAAATAGTGACATGTAGATCAAAACCTAAATACCTGTTGCCCCATATGAATACACAGCAATTTCCAGAGACCAGGAGCCATTGCACTATGACATGCTACTTCTCTGTCTCCTAAGTCTTATTCACTTTCTTAGGAACTGGTGTGCAGTTGAGATACAGAGCAGGAAGCAGACGTCTAGTGGTCACTCAACAAGATAGGATTAAAATCAGGATCTTAACTAACTGTTTATCAGTTCTACCTCTCAGGCAGGATGTTGAAATTGTTGACTTTTCAGCCAACAATGGAAGCTAGATGTTCTTGCCTTAAATGGTATTGAGTGGAGGGGAAAAATTGAAGGCCTCGCCATTGATACCTTTAGACGAGGCCACTCTGCCCCTGGGGTTGTCATGCCCTTGGAAAGCTTCAGTTTGGACAATTCTTCTTATAGAATGTGGAGCTAGATGTCCTTTGTTATTCAGAGTAAATGGTACCTCACTGCTCCCATCTTTCAATGGGAATCAGAAAAAACTGCTGCAGAACAGTGTTCTTTGTTTTCCCCCCTAACTAGAAGAGGTTGGATACATAGGCCTTCCCACAGTAACCCCACCTTGAGTGATGGAGGCTTTCAGTAGTGGTACTGCTCACTAGAAGAACTGAGCCATTTCTGCACTGACCCTACTCCTGCCTGTCTCCCACAGAGAATGTAAGCGCACCCAGGGAGTCTCTACCACTGACTTAGTTGGCCGGATGCTGCTCATGACCAAGGCTCATCACAGCAGCCGGGTAAGTTCACAGTGGCCTAGAGGGCAGTGGTCTTCTGGGAGTTTGATGAGTAACTCTTCTTTTCTCTTCCTTGCCACTGGGTCCTGGGGTTTAGGATATAGCTGCTGCCTGAAAGCCAGGACCCTGGTTGGGAAGGGAGGGAATATTTCTTTCCATTTATTACTGTTGGGATGTTTGTAGGCCATGAGAAATAAATCTCTCACTCTCCTTTCCTGAGACTGGTCAGCACGTAGGGAGCGGCAGGCTTCCTGCTTCTCAACAGGGACATCTCCAAATCAGTGAGGAAAGCCCCCTCAGTGGCCATGGAAAGGAATGCTGGCTGGAATTCTCGTGCCTGGCTGGCCCTGGGGCCTGACTCCACTTTTCTGTGCAGGAATTGCCTTCAGAATACCAGGAGTACACTGACAGCTTTGGCAAGGTGAGTGTTTGGAAAGGGCTCTGTATCCAGCCCCTCAGCGCACAGCGTGACAAAAGCCTAGGAACTCACACGCATACAAAGCTTGATGATAGCACTGAAGCGAGGGGGTTGGTATTTCTTCCTTTACTAGAGTGAGGTTAGGGAAAGGCCCAGTCCCTGGCCCCTGTTACCTCTGTCCTTTTGTTTTCTGCTCCTCAGCAGACTTCTCCCCCAAACCACGATTTATCCTAATCTGACTTCACTTTGCCACCTTGTTTTGGGCTTCCTTGCATTCTAAAGGAAATAGCTATCCTCATGTGAGCATGATGGTATCAGGCACAATTTCCAGAATTTCCCCCAGTGAGTTTTCAGACTCAATTTAGTGCTCACAGCAAGTGCTGAGGGGCCAGACGGGAGCTAGGTACCTTTATCCAGCATATGCTCCCTACTTGGGCCTGACTGTCCTGCCAGTTCCTGGGTGTTAGTAGACACTACCATTTGAGACCCTCACTATTTGAAGTTTCTAACAGTGGTTTGGCCCCTCTCTCCCTTTGTAGCCCCTTCACCTAGTACTTGCTGGGGCAGGTATTTGCCCAGAAGGCTTCTCCCAGGTGACAAGACAGTTGCCTCAGGGTCCTATTGAATGTGTCGGGATTTGCTGTCTGCTTCTTCTCTGTCCATCTGGGGCCCTTTGTTGGAGGCCAGGATGCTGGTGTTTTACCCAGTGGTCATGTTGAGAACACTTCTGACTTTTGTCATCTGCTCGTCCTTTCTTACCGAATTAAAGCTTTCCAGAGCTAAAGCTAGGTTTCATTCCTTGCACATAGTCCCCTTCCAACAGGTGTCACTGTTCCCCTGTTCCCTCTTCTCCCCAAACACTCCAGCTAGTCTGCCTAGAAGCTGGTGCAAAGAAAGAGTTTTCATTGTTCATTGGTTTCTCTCAGACTTCCCCCTGCCCCAACCCATTCCACTCCCTCTTTTCCCTTCCTTCGGGTGCTGAATGAACAGCCCTCAAGATCGGTACCCACCAGCATCTTCAGGCTAGAAAGAGAGCTGTAAATCTGGCAGCTTCTTCTTCACCCTTGCCCAGATCACAGAATGTTCCTTGTAGATCACCCGTGCCAAAGGAAGCAAGGACTGGCTCACAGATGAGGGAGGCAGAAGAGGGAGACCATAGGAAGGCAGCAGCTCAAAAGGACTGGGAAGAAGGGACAGGCGACATCTACAGCCCCTGGGGATCCTGGTGGTGGGTAGAAGGGTGAGCTAACTGGGTGTATAATATTGGAAATTTCTAACCAGTCTCCCCTGCTTGGTCCCTAGTGCCCAAGGAGCCACAGCCCCTGGACTGGAGTGTCACAGTTTTTGCAGACATCCCAAAAGATTATCCAGTTTGCTTCTGGGAAGGAGCCAGAGCCAGGAGATACCATCATCTATGTGGCTGGGGCCTTTGACCTGTTCCGTATCTTTCCTTCTGGCGCCACTCCTGCTCTTTGCCTCCCCAGGGAAGAGTGGGGAATGTCTGTCCTAGAAACAGTTTCACTATTCACAGTCATCCTTGACAAGGTTGCAGAAAACATTAGGGCCCAAGGGACTAGGTTGTCACTCTTGCCAGGGTTCTTTCAGGCTGTGGGAAAACTGGGGGGCAAGTGTATCCAGGTGGGCTAGAAGGAATGCTTGATTAGACTGGACCATGGAAAAGGGAGCAAAGGATCCCCTTTCCTGCAAGTCATGGGGTTCCGTATCACTCTTTTCTTCCCCAGTCAAGCACAAAGGGTGCTAGAGGCCCCACCCTGTGGAGACAGGCACCTTATTCTCTCCCTGTTGTTCTCTTAACCTGGACACAGATATTGGGCACGTGTCTTTCTTGGAGAAGGTTTACCAGCTTGCAGAACGACCCTACATCATTGCAGGCTTACATTTTGACCAGGTATGAACAACTAAGTGATATGATAAGAAAAGTAGCAAGAACCTCTGTCTCCTTACCTCCTCTAGCTGCATCTCAGTGCAGCTAAGCCCCAAGAGTTGGGAGGGGGCAGGCCTTCCGCCAGGAAGCAGCTATGAGAAGTCAGTTGACTTAAACTCCACCCTCTGAGGGAAGTGTGGCTCTAACTGACTGCATCTCTGTCTGATTCTAGGAAGTGAATCACTACAAGGGAAAGAACTACCCCATCATGAATGTGCATGAGAGAACGCTAAGTGTGCTGGCCTGCAGGGTGAGCTGGGACTCAGTTGGGCTTCTGGGGGCTGTAGTCAGAGTGAGGGGCCTCTCCTTTGAGTCACCTCCAAACTCAGGCCCACTGAAAGGTGTTGGCACCTTGGTGGGGAAGAAATGCTTCAACTCTGAGAGTCACTCCTGCTACCTAGCACAAATCACTGCACTACAGGGTCGGTTTGGGCACTTGCTCACTAGCCAAGAAAGCCTCTTTTCACTTCACCAGCCTCTGTTTTCTCATCTGTCAAATGCTGATGATAACTATTATGTTAGCTATGTAAGACTATTTCTGTAGTGCCTTCCAACTTTTAATTCCAACATCTAGAATTCCACCCCACCTCTTCTACCTCAGTTCCTCATGCTGGTCCTCAATCATTGGCATCCCTAGGTTTTACAGAGACTATTTTAGGGGCTGTGATGAGAAGAATTCAGAGGAAGAAGACATCCTCTGCCTTCAGAAAGTCTTGGGTCCAGAATGTCTCAGCATCATTCTCCAGTAGTGCCTCCTATGAACCATCTCTTTTCCTCTGTCCTAGCCCCTAAACAAAGCTCTGTTCTTCTCTGGAGGGTTTGAGAGGAAGCTTAGAATGGCTGCCTCAACTACAATCCTTATCAGGTTTATCAGCAGCTCTTTGTAAACTATCTGGGAACTTTGGACTTGGATTCAGAAGACCTGGGTTCAGGTCCCAGCCTTGCCACTCACTAGTTTTGAAATCTTGGGAAAGTCATTTAATTTCTCTGAGTCCCATCAGTGTGACAGGGGAGAAGGAGAGGTATTCAGTGACCCCTAGGACTCCAAGCTTTAATAGCAGAGAGGAGCTATCTCTGGACAGTCTGAATATCCGAGCTTCTTTCCTGCTTTGTAAAGTGGTTAATGTGGGACTTTCTGGTCTTCAGAACCAAATTTCTGGGTTCCCACCCTGGTCACTTAGCTTGGGGTTGGAGTAGGTAGGGGAAAGTTAGGTCATCGTTCTCTCTTGTCTCCCCAGTATGTGGCTGAAGTGGTGATTGGAGCTCCATATGCTGTCACAGCTAACCTTCTAGATCATTTCAAGGTGAGTCATCTTGGTGACTCATTAGCACTGGTTACTACAGAGTGGAGGGTGCCAAAGCCTTCATGTGAGTTGAAGGAGGTGTCCGAGGGTTACTGAGTTCCCTCAGAGTATCCATCGTGACATCCGCATCTCTGTCTGCCCAAGAGTGGCAGCCCACCCTCAATAGAGCAGGGGCAGAATAACAAACTGGCTGACCAAGGCCCAGTGGGATGGTATGGACACCTTTCTGTCAAAGACCAGCCTCTGCCCTAAGGACCCTAGAGTTTCTGGCCAGGAGTAGTACTCTTGACCACCACAGCTCCTCTTCTCAGGTAGACCTAGTGTGTCATGGGAAGACCGAAGTGATGCCTGATAAGGATGGTTCAGATCCATATAAGGTGAGTGCTCCAGAGTGCTTGCTAGTTCTCCACCTTTGTCTTTTCCCCACACCAACCTCCAACTTCCAGATATGTTTCCTCCTGTGTTCATTTCCTTGTCCTTTGACCACTCTTGTGAATCACTTCTCTTGTACATGAATAGGTGGGGCTTCATGGGCACACATTTCTGTCCCTTATTGGGGAAGTGACAAACTTTTTATCTCCTTCCTCAAGGGGAATAATGGATTTCCATTACTTCCTCCTTCCTACCCTTCACCTCCCACCTCTTTATGCCTTTTGAACCTATCCTTACTGCAAGAAGGGAGGGGAAGAATTCAGCCTTCAGCAGTCTGTGACCCCATGGTAGCATCTGTCTCTACCCACAGGAACCCAAGAGACGAGGTATTTTTCGTCAAATCGATAGTGGCAATGACCTCACCACAGACCTCATTGTACAGAGAATTATTAAAAACAGGTGAGCTTCCATTACAAGGCTCCAGAAGGTGGTTCACAGGAATCTCTCTACTTAGTTGCTTTAGGCCTCAGGAGTGGAATGAAAGTTTAGCAAAAGGATAACTTTGTAAGGCCATCTGTCCCAGGGAATCCAGGTTGTAGGGCTGGACTTTGTGACCTCAGGCCTGCTGTTTTGGTTTTTTTTTGTTTGTTTGTTTTTTTCCTAACAGATTAGAGTATGAAGCAAGAAATCAAAAGAAAGAAGCTCGAGAGCTAGCTGTCCTGGAGGCCATAAAAAAACGGGAGGCAATGCCTGAAGGGGCAGCAGTGCAGGTGGAGGGTCCCTGTGAGGCCTAATTACAAACCTGTACCAGCTCGAGCAGCACGCCTATCCCCTCCTTCCCCAGCCCCACCCTGCCTTCATCCTGAGCTAGGGGACTGCCCGAGGACCTGCCCTCCCTTTTGCTCTCCTCACTTTCTCAGTGCCCTTCTGATTTTAGAACTTGTCATACCTACCATTTTAATGAAGCTGAGGCCCCTTTTTAACTTACCCTGTCTTGGAATAACTGTTGGAACCTCACTCAACTAGCGTGGAGCTGCCTGGTGCTGGCAGAAATGAACACTTGGGTCTCCCCTGGTGTTTTTGGAGAGTTTGTATTCCCTAGTAACGCTTTTCTGCCTAGGCTCTACTGATCTGACTCTGTAGGAAAACAGGAAGACCCAGATAGCACTATGAGCATGGGGAATCTCTGTCTGCATCTGCAAGGGGCATTAGGTTTGTGACCGAGCCATGGGCAGGCTCTGGCCACTTTTAATCCCAGCTTCCCTTTCCTTGGCACTGCCCACCTCTAGTGAAGCTAGATGAAACATATGGGATGGGAAAAGGAGATGAGTCACAGCTGCCCTTTGGCCCTCATGACCTTAAGCACAATCCTGATGGGCTTATGAAGCACCATCTTCCCTTGTCCCCTGAGAGGCTGGGCTGCCTCTGCCTAGCCCCCATCTAACCTTGCTTGCTGGCTGGTGAGGAGAAAGAAGGTCAGCAACACAAGAAGGGGAATGATCTAACTGGTGACCTCCCTTACTTCCTTCGGAGGGGAAATCACACCTCCCAAACCTTCCTCCCCACCTCATCCCCTCATTCTCCTTATGGTCTGAGTCCTATTCCAAAGCTTCCAGCGTGCCGCCTGAGCTCCAGGACCTTTCTTTTTCACCTTCAGCTTTGCTACCTGGGGGTCCATAGTCCTCCCCTAATCCTGCTGCTCCCTGTACAGACTTTGTATGCTGATTTTTGTATGGAACTGACTGTTGTAAATTTCTTTGTCAGTAGAACTTAATAAAATATGGTGGGGGTACATGATCCACCCAGCAGTCCTTCTTGAGTAGAAACAAGGAAAGAATGTGGTGCTGAAGGTGACAGATTTGCCTTTCTCTTGTATCTGCTGGCTTAGTGCTCTTTCTCTATCCTGGGTTGCCATGTGTGTACCCTTGATGACAGCTACCTAGTTAGCCATGCAGAAATACCAGTCTCCCCCAGGCCTCTGTGTCACTTCCCCAGCAGCATCTGATTAATAAACAGGAGCAGGGAGAGCAAGTGACAGTGGGTTCTCCAGACACCAAACTTGATTCAGCTCAAGGCATTGAACTTCCCACCACCCCTTCAGGGAACCAGGAGAATGAGAAAACCAGCTCCTCTCATCTTTCTGGCCGTCTGCTAAATGAAAGATTAAAACCTTATTCCCCACAGATGAACAATGCAGAGCCCTGGGGTTGGGGTTTAGGCTTCTGTTCATCTTCCCAGTATATCCCTTCTTGTGTTTTAACTATTCCCAGCTCTAGCCCCTTCCTGAAAGAAAGCTCTGGGACTTAGGGACCTGAGAGCAGATTGGATTTTGGTTTTCTTGGCAAGGAACTAGTCCTGCCTATTGGACATTCCAAGTATTTTAGCACTAGACTATTCTCTTTTGCCTACCATGGCCAGCCCTTGATTTTCTGTGCCTCCTTCTGAAGCCTCGGGCATCCCCATACTTCTTTCAATATTGTAATCCCAGCAGTAGCATCACTTAAAACCTATTTGCTGCCCTGATGGACAGCTATTTTCTTCCTTCTGTCTAAAACTGAGCACTGGCCCTTACGTCCATGTTACATTTTGCTGTTCCTTTTTCATCCTGCTGATTCAAATCCTGAGGGTTTAGACTGTATTAGATCTCTGGGGTGTTCTGTTTTCCCACAGAGGAGGAGGCCCTAAGGTAAACGCTTCTTACCCTGTAGGCCAGCTAGCTTCTTAACAGTGAGAATCAAGGGTGTGGAATATTCATGCATATCTATGGTCTTGTGCAGTAAACTGTCATGGTGTGTGAGACACTGTGGGACAAGGAGGTGGGAACCAAATGTAAATTCTCTGGCAGAGAAACTCTAGTGGCTGTTGCCAAAGAAACTGGCCATTCTCACCTGTTTGCAAGTCCAACTAGGTTACTGATCCTAGCTTCCAAGGCTAACCAGTTTCTGGACGAGGGTTTGGCATTGTTCAAGCAATCATGTGCCTACCCTAACCCTTGACCAAGTTTATGCTATGAAGTCTGTTGCTCTAGGAGCAGAGATCTCAAGACAAATCAGATATCTCCAGGGACTTTAGCAGTGTGAGTTAGGAGAGGTATTGGGTGACACCTCTGGGTTAGAGAATCAGAAGGGATCAGTCAGGGGCATGGTGGCTCTTTGTGAGTTTGACTCTGCCCTTCTAATCAATGACATACCCAGGACCCTAGTGCCCAAGGAGAAGTCAGCCTTCTCCACACAGCACCTAGAAGGTTGGACTCTAGGAGTATAGAGCCTAGGCTCTAATCCTCTGCTGTTTACCTGTCCTTTCCATGAGACCTGGTGTCCAGGACAAGGGAGCCAGGGTTGACTGGGTGGAATGACCATGATCCAGAACTAATCCCCTCAGTCAGGTGCATCAATATACTAATAGTCCAGGGATTCTTAACCTGGGGTACATGGGAGGTCCATGGATAGTCTGTGAACTTAGAGGGGGAAAATTACACTTATTCACTGTGATCTGTGATTTTCTATATTTATTTGAAAGCATTCTGAAACGGGGTCCACAGACTCCACTAGACTGTTGCCAAAGGGGCCCAGGACACCAAAAAGCTTAAGAACCCTTTTTCTATTTACTGTCATTGGCATGGTGGGGAGAGGGTGTACTGGATGAAAGGAAGGACAGGGAAGAAGTACTTTAGTGTACCTATACAGGGCATTTGCTTATCAAGTTGTATCTCTGGTCTGTGAAGGGTTAAGAGGCTCAGGGTTGCACCTCCCCAGAAGTGACAAGCTTAGAATTGGAGGTCTCTCTCTCCCCCTGGAATAGAGCCAAGACCAATTCATTAAGTAAACCAGGGACATCCTGTGCCCTTGTGCCCTAAGGCAGAGAAGCAATAAAACAAAGATGAGGGTGGAAGACTCCAGGGCTGTGCAAATTGGTAGAGATGGAAATTTCTGTTCATAAATCAAACAAGCTAAATAACTTAACAGCCCTTGCCACAGGCAGAGCGTTCTCAGTATTCTCTCCCCCATATAAAAAACTAATCATACTATCTTCCAAAGTACCTCCAAGCTTTCCATCCATCAATTATCTCGATATGATGAAATCCCAGCTCCAAGATCTAGTCAGGGGGTATTAGTGGGTACAAGCGTTATTGTACTCTACCAGATGGGACAACTTAAGCTCAAAGTACCACAGAAGAAGTTCATACAATGCACCAAAATTGACACCAGAATCCAGGTCTTTCAACTTTCTAGACCAGGGTTCTACTCTGATCCGGTTACCAGTTTGTGCCAACTCCCCATCCCTCCTGTTCCCTGCATCAGAAAAAATATATCCACAGCCTAGACTCTAGCTGGATTTCTATAAACCAGCTGTGTTTCCCAACTTTTCCTTTGCCTCTTTGGACTGTGAGGAGACTTCTGAGAGAGTAGACAGAAAAAGCTGAATTGAAGACTCAGTCGGCCAGAAGCCATGGAGAAACGCAACATTATCTAGGCTTATTGGAGGAACTGAAAGAGTGCATGAAGCCCCCCAGTTTACCTGGAGAGGGGATCTTAATTCCAAGATCCGGTTCAGTGGATTCAAGGGAAGCAAAACTATTCCAGTCACCAGAAATAAATGAATTGGTTAGGATAAAGATGAGACCAGATTCCTTAGCACTTTCATCCTGGTTAACATCTGCCTTTTCAACCAAGAATACCAGTCACTTAAAAACTGTGACAAAACCTACTTTTGTTGTGGCAAAACAGATCGTCTAGAGCTGGGAATGAAAAATTGCTGGTTGAAAGTGGATGCTGGACTCCCACCACCTAAACGGTACCAGCTTTACTTTCATTCATTCAACAAACAGTGAGCATCAACTTGTAGGTAAGACACTAGTGGGCACTAGGAGAGATTATAAGGATGAGTGAGACAGTCCTTTCCTTAAAGAATCTGCAGGCTGTTACAGGAGATAAGATAGGAACTATTTATGCACTCATTCACTTTGGTCTAGACCTATCAATAATAGTACAAAGTATTCCAAGTGAGGAAACTCCATTAGTGCAGATGAGATAATATGTATAAAGCACTTTGCAAACCTTGAAGTACTATGTGAATATTGGTTATTATTATCAATTCCTCTAATGTATAATCTTAAAGAGCTGCTGGGGGAATAAATGACTTGCCCAGGTTCAAACAGCCCAAATGTGTCAGAGGCCAGACTTGAATCTAGGTCTTTCCGACTACAAGGCCTTGTTGCCTCTCATGAACGATTTATGCCCATACGATGATACTGGGCAGAATATAATAGGTATCAGGAAGTCTTAACAAAGTACTGTGGAGGTATTTAAGGAGGGTGAGATCATTTCCAGATGTTAGAAAAGGCCTCATGTAGAAGATGGCATCTGAGCCAATCCTGGTTTATGGGAAAATCTACATCATACAAGAAGTAGATGTCATAAGGCATTATTTGAACTCAAGTCTTCCTGACTCCAAGTCCATCGTTCTGTCCACTGCAGTTGGGACTTGAAGGAATCCCAGGGAGGTGAAGAGATGGAGAAGAGGAGGGAGAAAATTCCAGGCCAATGAAAATGCACGGATTTGGGAGATGGACTCTTATTTGAAGAAGTGTAAGGAGACCAGTGTCACTAGACTATGGAATTTCTGGTGGTTAGAGGGGGTGGTATAGTGGACAGAGCACTGGGCCTGGAGTCAGGAAGATTCCTCTTCCTGCGTTCAAATCCAGCCTCGGACCCTTACTAGCTATGTGACCCTGGGCAAGTCATTTCATCTTGCCTCAGTTTCCTCATCTGTAAAATGACCTGGAGAAGAAAATGGCAAACCACTTTATCTTTGCCAAGAAAACCCCAAATGGGGTCACAAAGTCAGACAACTGAAATAACTGAACAACAACAAAAATTATGCAAGGTGCCTGGAATGTATAAAATAAAAACAAGACAATCTCTGCCCTCAGAAAGCTTAAATTTTACATTCTGGTATTCTAAACTTGCCCCAGGAACACAGGTAGGCCATGACCCTCTGCCCAGCTTCTTCTGTAAGAACACTAGAAAGATAACACTTGCTAGTTGTGTGACCCTGGGCAAGTCACTTAACCTCACTGCCTAGCCCCCCCCCCCCCCAAAAAGACTAGAAAGGTAGGACAGGTCCAGCTTCTGCAAACCTTTGAATGCCAAACATGATTTTTTTCTATTTAATTTTGGAGGTGATAGGGAGCCACAGGAGTGCATTAAATAGGTAGGGAAGGTCAAGTCAGTGTGACAAGGTTGGTCCTGCACTTTGGGAATATCACTTTGCAAGCTAAGCAGAGAGTGCAATGGAGAGAGACCTGACCAACCAGGGAGACTGACCTGGAAGATTGTTATAATCGTCTAAGTGTGAGGTGATAGGGCCTGCACCAGGGTTATAAGGGTATCAGAGGAGAAAAAGAGCATGTACTGGAGATGTTATAAAAGCAGAAGCCATAGAACAGACTGGATGTGTGTGTGTGTGTGTGAAGGGGGGGGGCAGTAAGGGAGAGTAAGGAGTTCAGGATGACACCCAGGTTATGAGCCTGGGTGACTGGGGGGATAGTGGTACCTCCAGCAGTAATAGGGAAAGTTAGGAAGAGAGGAGGGTTTGAGGGAAAGATGAGTTCAAGTTCTGGATGTGTTGAGTTTAAGATATGGTAATGGAGAAGAAGAAGGTTTGTTTGGGGTTGCAAGTCAGAGGAAGAGGTGGAATGACAGTGGATTGTGATAGGATAAAGGAATTTCAGAGTTCATGAGTATAAAAGAACATTTGTGGATGATGTCAAGATCAAGGGCATGATCATGGCTGTGTG